TTGGTCGTGTTTGCCATGGTGTGCAAGATCGCGGTTGCGCCATACCGCATCCACACAATTGGCATTTTGGGCATTTTGGACATTGGCCATGAGATTTTTGCAGTGCCAGTTTGCAACACTTTTGCTCAACATCTCTACAAAAAATGCTAATGGTCCCCACAATTTTGCTAATCAAACCACTACACTTTCCTACACTTTTGTAGTCAACTACCCAAAATTGCTAAATGGTCCCGCACTTTTGCTAATCAAAACTACTACACTTTCCTACACTTTTGCAGTTCAACTATCCAAAATGCTAATGGTCCGCACTTTTGCTAATCAACACCTACACTTTCCTACACTTTTTGCAGGTCAACTACCAAAATTGCTAATGGGTCCCGCACTTTTGCTAATCAACCAGTACACTTTCCTACACTTTTGCAGTCAACTACCAAAATTGCTAATGGTCCGCACTTTTGCTAACCAACCAGTACACGTTCCTACACTTTTGCAGTCAACTACCAAAATTGCTAATGGTCCGCACTTTTGCTAATCAACCAGTACACTTTCCTACACTTTTGGCAGTCAACTATCAAAATTGCTAATGGTCCGCACTTTTGCTAATCAACCAGTACACTTTCCTACACTTTTGGCAGTCAACTAACCAAAATTGCTAATGGTCCACACTTTTGCTAATCAACTACTACACTTTCCTACACTTTTGGCAGTCAACTATCAAAATTGCTAATGGTCCGCACTTTTGCTAATCAACCACTACACTTTCTTAACACTTTTACTAATCAACTACCAAAAAATGCTAATAGTCCGCACTTTTGCTAATCAACCAGTACACTTTCCTACACTTTTGGCAGTCAACTAACAAAATTGCTAATGGTTCGCACTTTTGCTAATCAAACCACTACACTTTCCTACACTTTTACTAATCAATTACCAAACATGCTAATGCTCTGCACTTTTGCTAATTCATCACTACACTTTATTACACTTTTATTTAGTAGTCAAAAATGTAGACATCAACTATATATGTTGTTGGTTACAACTTAGTACATAATTAATAGTCAAAATATACACACATTGACTACAATTTATTTTTGGTAGTGATTAGTAAAAGTGTAAGAAAGTGTAGTGTTGATTAGCAAGTGTAGGAAGTGTAGTGGTTGATTAGTCAAAATGTGGACCATTAGCATTTTTGGTAGTTGACTACCAAAAGTGTAGGAAAGTGTAGTGGTTGATTAGCAAAAGTGCGGACCATTAGCATTTTTGGTAGTTGACTGCCAAAAGTGTAGGAAAAGTGTAGTGGTTGATTAGCAAAAGTGCGGACCATTAACAATTTTTGGTAGTTGACTACCAAAAGTGTAGGAAAGTGTAGTAGTTGATTAGCAAAAGTGTGGACCATGAGCATTTTTGGTAGTTGACTGCCAAAAGTGTAGGAAAGTGTAGTGGTTGATTAGCAAAAGTGTGGAATAGTAGCCAACAAAAGGTGTACTAGTGAAAGTCAGTATATTTTATTATCAAAAGTGTAGTATATACCAGTCAACTCAGTGTCTGTATTTTGACTACAAATGTGGAGTAAACAGTAGTCAACATAAAGTGTAGTAAATAACAACCAACAATCAATAAACATTGAATAAGCAGTGAAGTAAATAGTAGTCAACAATAGAACTTTACCAGCAATTAAAGATCTTTAAGAGCCAGTCTTAAACTCTGAAGAGCTATATAGCTCTCTAATTGCTCTAAATGCTCTTATAGTTCTATAGAGACAAGGCTACTTCTATATAGCAAAACACATTTTCCTGATGTCTGGCAGCCGTGATGAAAGGAGGGAATATTGCAGCTGGCGAAATTTAGACAACCGGATGAGAGTGCGAGGGATGTAGACAATGCAGGATGGAGGAAGGAATTCTCCATATGCTGATTGGAGAGGGATGACATGGAGGACGATCTGTCTTTGATCAAGCCGTATGACTGACTTGACAGAGCCAAAATAGATGCGCATATCTGTTGAATTCTGAATGACGAGTTTTCGCCCTGTGTGAACAGGGAATGGTATGGCAGGGGAGAATGATGTGACAAGCCATGCTGGCATTGGCTGGTTGTCAAGTGGCTGGCCGATGGCATGTGCATAACCATTAGATTGAGCGAACTCATGTATCCAGGAAGCGCTTGATGGCATTGATGACATATTGGCGTGATGGTGTGATGGGAAATGAATGGTGATGGCAGGCTGGGTGTGATGGCAAAGAAGTCGGATGGCAAATGAACGGCAAATGAAAAACATGCATGTATGCTGGCATGGGCGCTTAAGGTTTGCCGCCTTCTAGATTGAGAGAAGCGAAGATCCTCTATTTTGGGAGAGAAGATCGGATCACCGGGATCTTGGCCGGGATGACGTAACGTGCAACGTTGAATGTGTAACTCTGTCACATTTCTTCTTCTTTGACCACTGTCGCTTGCCTCCAGTGCGAAGGATGACTGCACTGTGCTTGTAGTCGTCTTTCTGCACTTGACATACTATGTCTTCTTCGTCATCATGGGTCCAGTGCGATGCATGAAACAACGTTCTGTTCTCATCGTCTGCACTTGGCGTATGCTGCATCGTATCTTCTTCATTCATTCTTCATGCTCACATCACCAACACTTTTGGTGTGTGACACCGGCCACCGGTACTTGATCTCCTTTTCCCATTTTTCTTATCTACATTACATGCGAAAACTATCTACAACCGGACTTGCTCTGTACCCAACTTCTTTGGAGGACTCATGGGGTTCTCCGCCATGTCCTCCTGGAGTCCGGCCATCTCTTCGTCCAGCTCCCCTTCAGCCACCTCTTCTTCTTCCGACTCCTCCTCAGAAGACTCCTCCGGCGCACCACAAATGGCAGCCTCGTCCATGAAAATCTCAAAGGCCCTCCTGGCCTTCCTCGACGCCTGCGTTGACTCCCAGTGCGCCTGTGTCGACTCCCAGTGCACCTGCGTCGACTCCCTATGTGCCTGCACCAACTCCCCCATCCGGTCGCTCATCTCCTCGATGGCCACCACCAGGCAGTCCAGCGAGACCCGGCTTGGACCAGCCCCGGACCTACTCTCTCCAACGATCTCACCTCGTCATCATCTTGTACTTTCACCTTGCATACTCGTTTCTTCTTCTCACATTGATGCGGCGACATTGGGACTTCGTTGGCCTTGGCCTTGCCTTTTCCAGTCCCGGTGCGCATGCATCTCCGGCCATTCGCACTTCTCCCTCTGTGCCGCACACCAGTCGACATGTGGTCCGCCTCTTGTTGCCATTATTGGTGAACTCGCATGAGACACTGGCCCTCGCACAGATGAACGCAACTACTAGAGAAATCAGCATGTCAATAGGAAGATGAAATAACTACTCACCACATTCCTGACCCGCGGGCAACACTTGACCCGGCTGCAGCCTCCTCCCTCTGCCTCTTTTTTGTGGCCTCAGCGGCCTTCCTCTGCGTCTCCTTGCGTGCTGCCTCTGTTCCTCCTCTTGCCTCCTCAGCTCTGCTTCCTGCTCTTCCTGGAGACGTTTCTCCTCCTCCTCGCAGCGACGTTTTTCTTCTTCCTCCCGGAGTCACGCCTCTTCATCTTCACGGCATGTTTCTTCTCGACCTTGCGCCGGCGAACGTTCCTTGGCTTTGGTCATCGCGGTCTCATCGTTATCTTCGATATCTGAGTCAAGCTCAGGTGTCTTCAAATGAGCCCAGTCCACACCGGGCATAGAAGGAGCAGGAGTAATAGATTTTGAAGCAGGAGACATTTTTTAGGAATGATTGGGTTGAGGGTAAACCTGGTCAAAACCTTTTTTCCAGACGAGGCCAATTTTCAAACTCAGCATTAACATCACTGTGGCCTCAAGGGTTCGGCCCCTAAGAGGGGGATACTGTCATATCCATGTCTGGACCCCTATTCCCGAGTCCGGCCACACTAGTGCATCTCTGGCCACACTAGCGCATTCCCAGCCCCGGACTCAACTCCAGTCCTGTTTAAGTATAGTCTTGCTTAGTGAGCATGGCAGTGTCTGCCATTGTCGCTCCATTATGTTTCCGATTCCTATTTCATATCTGGCTTCTCGTATGTTCTCTTGTCCCGGTTCTGCCTGACTAATTACTGCACTTTCACTTTGCCTTAGTAATACCTTAGTAATCTTCCGGTCTCCAGGATTACCGGACTGCGCTTTGCTATGTTCCCTTTCTAGTATATAAGTTGTAGATACTTTGTCCGGTAGTCGCAGTCTGAAATCAACTTAGTCTCTTCTCCTATATCTGTCTAGACTGGAGTCTACGCAAGGGATCAACTCTCCGCCTTGAGTAGTTGAATCCAAAGCAGTCTACCCCTACTTCTGCTATCTACGCTACCCCAGACCGGAGTTATACCCCGGACTTAGCTGGAGAAGACCCGGACTTGACAAATAACCCCAGAGGAACCAGACTTAACAGCAACAACACCAATGAACAGTAAGATCCACCATTAGTACTGATGTAGTAAACAAGATGGCAGGATAGAAACTCAGGTGGACAGATGTGGCAGGAACATCACTCATTGACTGAAGTGGGACACTTGACATTCGGCACTGTATCATGGAGCCACTGAGTGCTGAGTGCAGTGAGTGGTGAGCAAGTGAGCAAGTGAGCATGATGGTGACAGTAATCTCAGTTAATGTTTGTTTGGTTTACTCCACAGTGTAAACAAAAATCCTAAGTTGAATGTAGTGCCGAGTGGTCTAATGTTTTGCATTCAGCTGTAACTACTAGTACATGGTGTTGCACTGTGTAAAATAATGTTGTCGTGTCACATAATGTCACCCTGTGTGACCTTTTCCGTGATGTATATTGCTGGTATTGTATAAGCATAGAGGCAGTCCCACCGCGATACAGTATGAGCAATTCAACTGTAGTCCTAGAGTTGGATGTATCAGAAAACCATCACCTTGTGCCAGAATCATGTCTCAAGCCAACCTTGTTTGAGATTTTCCGACAAAAGCTAAATATCCGACCTGCCTGGCTCGAACAGGCGACCTCAAGATGAACTTTTTTATCCATTACAGTCTCGCGCTCTTCCAACTGAGCTAAGGTCGGTTGTACATAAGCGGCAAATGTGAAGCTCAAGTACTATCACGGTAACATCGCTTTGACAACCTCCCCACAACTAGGTTTCGCCATGGCCTTCGTACTTAGACGAAACAGTCTGACAAGACTCTTTGCAACATTGGTTCTTTTACTGACAGTACACCTCCTTTTATCCTCGTCACCTGAAACTACGCCGTCCTCGATCTCCGAGTACCAGGGGTATAATGTTCTCCAGAGAGTTACTGGGGTGGACAAGACCCTAAATACTCAGAAGCACAAATTCATGCAACGAAGGATGGGGAGGGATGCCAGGCCTGACATTTTCGACGATTTGATATATGGTGGTGTCAGAGACTATTGGGAACGATACCAGGCGCCATTGTGAGTTAAATACAGTAAACTTGTTCATTAAACCCTGACTGTTAGATTAGCATCACCGCAAAGGAGACCAGTCACACAGACGTTCAAAATGTTCTTAGCGCCGTTGAAAGTCTACTTTCACTGAATGGCTGGGTTGCCGCTTACTGTCCGACGTTGATTCGACCTTTTGGACAAAACAAAAACATTGATGAAGACGCCTACGATGACCTTGCCAAGGATGACCGACTCTACTACATAGCTCTGGCCATCCACTCCGCTGACCACTTTCTTGTCGACCAACTGGCTGTCATCGTCCAGTTAGCAAAGCGTCTTGGCACTTCCAACCTATTCGTTTCGATGCTGGATTATGGCTCCACAGACTCTACATCTACTCTCACAGATCTCTGTGAAGCAGTATTAACCCTCCTCGGCGTACCTTTCAGAATTCGCCGCGTCCCATCAATGACCGAGGACCCTGCTGCTGCCTACTACCCTTTGGAAGAGGCGCATATGCGAAACCTCGCGCTCGAGCCGCTTCTAGAACTGCATGAGAAGCGACAGATAGCCTTTTACCGTGTAATCTGGCTCAAAGGATTTACCTGCCCTAATGATATCTTGGAGACTTTAAGAGTTAGCATCGCAAACGAAGCTGCTATGGTATGCGGGATGGATTGGGCCGAGTCCAGTGGGCAGTTCATCTTTTCTGATAGGTGAGATAAGATAGCAGCTTAGGTGTGCGATCGTTCCTAATGTCGTTTTTCTGTCTAGGTGGCGCACCCGAGATATCCTTGGTGATCAATTCCGACAATCCAAGTCGTCCTCGAAACCCGATACTGTACCACCTCGAGACGAGAACGGAGCTACTCGATACATTCAGCACCTACCTTTCCAAGTTTTCTGCTGCGAAGCTGGCACTCACATCCTGGATCCCGCTCAGTCTTACTACAAGGGTCTGAGGTATCGCTACGGGATGGATTTCCATAATTCGTCTTCCTCGGATACTGTGCCCCAGCGTCCTCCAGACGCTCCGTGTTTGGATAGTAGTCAGGCATGGTTCTGTAGGGACCTTTGGGTGAGCAAAGCATTGGAGGGTGTCCAAGATGACGAGGTGCTTGACCCGGCTCTCCGCCATTTGAAATCAATGCCAGACGCTCGGGCAAGACATCGCCGACAGATCCCAAACTCACCCATAGATACTGACGCCAACGCGGGATCAGATTTTGACGCCATGCCAGACTCTGACCTTCCTCTGGATACGCTTCCGGCTGTCCGATTGACTGTGCCGAATTCGGCATACACGCCCGCCCGCATTTTGATCAACCCGCGATGTGTGACAACGTACGCCGGTGTGAGCCACACTCAGCTAGCTTTGGACCTTTTTGGTACCGGTGACGATGAAGAAACACAAGGGAATGCAACCAAGAACATCCTTGACGATTGGGAGGGTGCTCCTGAGAGTTTCGTCTGTCAAGAACAACGGTGTGTTGACCTTATCTTGCTCTGAATTGCAACGTCGACTTACATGCAGTCTAGCCAAACAGGGGGTCGGGTGGCTGCGAAAACTCAACGTTTGCTAAGCTTTTCTATTCATGATGAATTGGCTGCGAGGGCTTTGTAGGCTTTAACGATGCTGTCTGAATATTACAATACACATTCGAAGATAGAGTGGCATATCCGTTGCAGAACAATCGTTATCGCACTCTCTTCTTCTTTCCGAATCCTTTGAAAGCAACACCATCATCAGAGTCATCATCTACAATGACATGCCGTCGTTTACTCCCCCTTCCTGGCAGCGTCAGTACGGGATCATCTGCATGTGACCTCGCGGCTGCATTCTGGGATTCCACGTCTGGCTCGAGACCCTCGTCTGATTCCAAGAATAGTCGCTTAGCTGCAATGGTTCGTTTCAATTGAGAGGGTTTATAGGTCGGTCGTTTAGTTTCCTTTGCGGCTGGCAACTCCATACTATCCTCGTCATCTGATTCTAGCACAGTCGGTGCTTGCTTCTTTTGCGTCCCCTCTATCGCCATGCGAGGAGGCGGTAAAGTAGTGTAATCCTTTGCAGTGTTACTATCCTTCCAGTAACCTGTTGCAGCGTCAGAAGATATTCACCAAAGACCCTTGAACATACCTGAGCCTAGCCCGTAATCGTTTTCGCTTTTGACAACAAGCTCGACAGGAGCTCGCGACGAAAGAGTTGGTGTCTGGGAGCATGTTCGGAACACAATAAGAGCACAGACATTCAATGATGCCCACCTTCTTAAACTTCTTATAGTTTGCCCGACCATCGAAATCATGCATCGCAGTAGTTGTACGAGGAGGGCAGGAATCCCGAAAGACAACCAAGTCGATCACCACCATAAAGTTTCCTCGTATATTCCTCACATCAGTGTCAAAGTCCCCCAAATTCTCCCATGCCTGCTCCTCTTCCTGGCGTTGAACATCTGGTCTTGAGATACGAAGCTTGTTAAATTCTCGGTCAAACGCATCCTCGGTCTTCTTGCCCCTTTTCTTTGATGCAAGGGCAGTCAGAAAGGCCCGATCGGTGTCGACTGGATGGATCTGTCCCGAACTGGCCTTCTCTTGGTTTGGTTTGACTTTCCTTCCTACAGCAGGTCCCTGCACCCCATCCACATGCAACTCTTGGAGTTCTTGCGGTATGGGTTCAGAGTTCAGACTATGCGCCGATTCACCAAGATGACGCTGGCAGTCTGGACGAAGAGCCGATATGCGCGTCGTGGCTTCAAGTTGCAAACGACCACTTTCTTCTTCTTCCTCGGCCACCGCACCCAGTCTCCGTGGGCGTACGGCTGTTTGCAAGCGCAGAGAGCGTGAGTCGCTCTGTGTGAGACTCTCACTGTTCCGAGTGATACTAATAGAACCTCCCATAGCAGTGTCATAAGCTGCCTGGAGGTTGCTCGGACCTTCGGCAGCCATCTTGTCTGGATCGCTAGCATCAAAGAGTGCTTTGAACTTCTTCAGAGGTGGTTCTTGACTCGGTTCGCCAGCAGCGGCAGGCTCTTCTGGCGCTGGCGAGCAGGCGGCGGTGGCAGCTCTTCGCTTCAGCCTAGTCGATCGCGCCATAGGAGGGAGCTAAAATGTCACATGAAAGTAGACGTACGCCAATGGATAGCGTGAACATACTGGTGGAAGAGTGAATGCTAGATTCTCCATCTGGGTCTCGTTACTGACGTTTGGCGGAGCAGCCTCTTCTTTGCTACTCGAGGTAGACGAAGGTTTGGCTCGGCGAACGAGCGTCTTGAATAAGTCAGTTTGAATACGAAGACAAGTCAATGAACAATTTTTGCATACCTTGCGGGGCGGAGGAGGTATTACTAACCCAGGAATCTCGGAAGGAGGCATGGAAGATGGAGATTTTAGGGCAACACCTTCATGTTTCTCAGGGGACAACTTCTTTCCGAGCACAATTGGCAAGGACGGTTCATCAGGATGTGTATTCGGAACGAAATCTGGGAGAGAAGACTCGCAAGCAAGCAACGAAGCTGAGGAGTGGAGTTAAAACAAGTTGACAAAGGCTGGAATCAGACTACCTTGAGTGGAGCTGTCCGTGATCAGCGTCGCGTCAGTGTTAATCACCGCATTCAGGATAGTGTCTACGTTGACAACGGGTAAAGATAGGCTGCAAATCCAAAGTCAGCATGATACAAGTTGTGCATGTACGAAATTTTTCAACCTCTGAGCGTCAGCGACCATTTCCTGCCACTTGACTGAACCGACAGTAACCTGGACAATCCGTTCGCGGGCGACGATAACAACTTTCAATCCCACCTCTTCTAATTTCCTGTTTGCTTTGGCAAGCATCTGTCTCCATTTCGCCTGCCCGGCCGTCATAGGGAAGCCTTCATACTCGCCTTCACCACGAGTGATCAGCTCTCTCATATCACGGTCGACTTCTCCGTCCGAGTCCCCGAGTAGAACGAATCGATAGCCCTTCAAGAGATGAAGTCGCTCCTCGTTTGGCTCCCAGAATTTGAAAGACTTCAACGAAGGGGACAACGCAGGGGAAAAGACCGGCCTATATTTGCTCTCCAATGGAGGATTGAAGAAATGCTCTAGAGGTGTCAATTTTAACGGATGGGTGTCATCTGGCATGCTTCCAAGGCGGATGAGCTCATGTAACCATTCCACTTTCACAAGCTGGGTAGCTGACAGCAGAGACGTTGTCGATGGTATGGTGAGTTCATACTTGGGAGTGAGATGATGTGTCGCAAGCGAGCTTGCGGATGTTAGCACACTGATCCCTTGAAATCGTTGTATGAGTACCAAAACGTCTGTAGTGGTATAGCACTGACCCATTGCGATACAGTCCTCGCTCGATATAGATGGCAACCCTCGCGCAGGTGGAAAAAAACAAGCAATGCGTCGCCAATGTACCCTACCATGCAAAGTCAGAGGGACAGGAACTTCATCCAATCCAAAAGAGCAAGGGCCCACCCAAGAGATATTCCAACTACTATATGTATTTTATCTCCTGACTTGAGTTCGCACGAACAAGAAGGATTCACGATTGCGGCTTCACCATCACGGTCAATGGACATGGGCTTCTCCTTGGCGTTGTATATCTCTAGCGTCGGGACGAATGATGGATTGACCTGAAACACACGTATTACGAGGGCACACATCCACTT